GAAGCCAGTGCAGGGATTGGCAGAGGGGGATGGGGTTAGAAGCCAGTGCAGGGATTGGCAAAGGGGGGTTGCAGACACTGAGCGGTTGGTTAGGTGAATGAGTCTGGCAGCTGCATTCATGATAGACTAAAGGGGGGAGGAGCCTGTGTAGTGGAAGGCCAATGAGGAGGGAGTTACAATAGTAGAGGAGAACCATGAGAGAGCAGAGTCTTGTGGGCCAAGCGAGTGGAGTTTTTTGAGGAGCAGCAGGTGGTCAACAGTGTCAAAAGCAGCAGAGAGGTCTAATAGCAAGAGTAAGGAATAGTGGCCGTAGTTTTTAGCGGTTATTAGGTCATTGGTGAGTTTCAGTGGAGTGTTTGGGGCGAAAGCCGGACTGAAAGGGGTCCAAAAGGTTGTTATTAGCGAGGTGGCAACTCAGGCGGTTGTAGATAAGGCGTTCTAGTAGTTAAGAGGTGAATGGGAGTAAGGAGATAGGTCTGAAATTATTGAGGTTGGTAGGGTCCAGTGAAGGTTTTTTGGGTATTGGGGTGACTAGTGCATGTTTGAGAGGGGTAGGAAAGATTCCAGTAGAGAGGGAAAGATTGAAAATGTGAGTAAGAGAGTCTAGGATAGAGCAAGAGGGTGACCAAAGTAGTATCAATGAGAAGTATAAATGAGCCGCGCTAAAGTGCCATAAATCTAAATCTAAAAAAAAATATGTATCAAACGATTGGATTCCAAGTGCAACAGTATTCGCATGTAAAATGTTCATAACACCCATATACAGGCAGTCCCCGGGGTACTTGCATCCAACTCCTACTTACAAACGGAGGCTATTACTGTACAGCAGGGGTAGTTGTAATGTCGACGACTAGTGCCTGCCTTTTCGGGTCTGGTTTGTAGTACTGTACGTACATTACAGGAAGTTGGCTCTTGTTAGACATGCAGATGAGTGGTGCCCGCCTCTTCTTCCGGGTCACTGTGAGGTTTTTACTGCTGTCTGTATCCTCATTAGAAAGATTTAATATCACTTCCTGTCCTTAAGACAACAGGAAGTGAAAGTCACTCCTGTAAGAGTTATCATGGGAGAGAAACACACTCAGCAGAACAAACTTTACAGGGGGTAAACCCTTCACCATTGCTATCCAAAACAAACAAAAAATTTACCTGTTCCATCTTAATTACAAATTCAACTTAAGAACAAACCTACAGTCCCCATCTTTTTCGTAACCCGGGGACTGCCTGTATAATAAAAGTAGAAGTACATCACGTGTGCAGGCAATGTGCGGATAATATTATAATATTACAAATGAATATATATAGATAAAAAGAAATGAATGCAGTATATAGATGGCTAAAAATAGTTTGTGAAAAATAAATAAATGATATCATAACAAAAAGCCCACCATGTTGGCATAATTCCTGTGTGATAAGTGTTCAGAATGATGATGAAAGAACCTCTCCCAAGGGAAGAAACCTTTTGCTGCTCACCTTGTTGAAAGACCTCAAACTAAGTCTAAATAGTGCCGTCCCTTCTATTAGTACCGGCGGGGGAAATCCACATAGACTTTACAAATCTTTAGCGTGCCTCTCCTCCTTCAGGGCCCTGTCACACCATGTCCGGACCAGATCTGCACGCGTTTCTACAAACGCAGTGCGGTGTGTTTGCCACGCGTTCCAGTGCGTGTGGTTTTTTTGGGGGGGGATATCATTATGCAAATTAATCTCTTCCTGCTCCATGACATAGCTTCTGTTGCATTCCGGTGCAGTGCGTTTGGGGCTCATTCCAGTGCGGGAAAAATGTGACATGCAGCATTTTTTTCCTGCACTGGAATGGACTGGACTGGACTGGTGTGAACAGAGCCCACAAATCACATACAAATGCATTGGGATGTAACGTACCGCATCTGTTCCAGACATGGTGTGAATGGGCCTTACATCCAGATCATCTCCAGAAAAGATTGTTCCTGGACCCAAAATGCATCCTAATGTATCCCTATGCTATTTTTGGCCTCTGTTCACACCAGCGCAGTCCGTTCCAGATCAGAAAAATACTGCAGGTCTCATTTTGTCTGGTCTGGAACGAATGGAAACGCATGCAAACGCACTGGACTGCACCTGAAAGCCCATTTTAAGCTCCGGAACATGGTAAAAACGCTGCACATCGCAATGCACCGCGTTGCAGATCTGGTCCGGAAAATGGTGTGAACCTGGCCTAAACATATGAACTTGGGGTAGATAAGCCAGCCACACCGCCAATTCCAAGGCAAATGTACTCAAAGGATCATGTGAAAGGAAAAAGGCCACTAGTGCAGACCGTATGGTATAAAACGCACTTTAATAAAGAAGGTACTCGCAAAATCCAAGTAAATCGTTAGCATAAAAGAGAATGCATTGACGTTATATGCTGTATGCTTCCTGTTCAAGCCACGTCCAATCGATACCTCTGGCTTCACCCTACGCGTGTTGCATCCTCTGCGCGACTTCGTCAGGGGTTTGGAGTAGAGCGTGCCGTGAATAAATCTGTCTATGTAACCATAGTAACCGTAAATAACTAAAGGAACTTGTTTAACTTCTTAAAGGGACTGCGGTAAGCTCATACAAAACAATATCGATCCTACAGCATAAAAAAATATTCAGATGCCAACCAGCAAAGCCAATGGTAATGACTGCATGATGACCCATACAAAGAAGCATAGTGAACCGCGCTTTTACTGAGCGACATATGACTTCTAGGAACGTTGACTTCTTGTATTACCCTTTAAAGGTCGGTTACATGCATATGCATTAAGAATTTTCTTTGTAGGACTCTACTAAAAGCCATCCTGTATGGATAAAATGTCAGTTCTGAATAGCTGAGCTGAAATCAGACCGAAGTGTTTTTGTGCGGCTGCAGCTGAATCACACAAACTATGAGTAACCACTTGCTTGCGAGGATTACAAGGGAGTATATGGGAAGTCTGATTCTGATAGGCTGCTCCTCTACCAACCTTTTGCTAGAATTTCTCCGCACAGACAAACCTGATGCCTGAGCTCTAAGTGTAGAGTGAAGCGTCAGGAGTTTGCTGCCTGTATAAACATTCTGTTCTCCCAGCTTTCTTCTTTTTTTTGCTGGAAATTGGGGCTCTCTGATCTGTCTTCTAATTGGTTTGATTATGATTTTGATTCTTAAGAGCTTTTCTGGTCTCCTAGTCCGTGTTTGAGATAGCAAATTAGCATTTTCCTGAAAGGGTAATGAGAGAAAAGATGGGCCTTACATCATGTGCTGCTGTTGAATCTTTCTTTCTTGGGACTCGGCCTGTGGCCTGCAGTATCATCGCTAAAACACAGACCATTGAAAAGGTGCAATTTTTCTAGCAGTTAATGGGATGCAGTCTTGTCAGTATATCTCTCAGGAACAAAGGTATGTCATTTGATTTCACTTTATGAGAGGCTTGCTGCTGTTTGTGGGGAAACGACTGTGGTTCTTATTTGTTATAAAAAAGCAACACACGTGTTTTGCATTGCAAGCGGTAAGGAGATTTTTATTTCCAATTGGCATTCTGTATAGGTGCACTTTGTTAGCGGTAGGAAGTTTGCCGTGGATTGATTTACTAGTGTATGCTTGTGGTTGCAGTTCCATGAAACTTGGAGAGGAAAAGTTGATAAAGACTTGACTTCAAATCATAAAGGGAAAGTAGTATTTTAAAATTTTCTGTGAGATTTTTATTCATTCTGTTTCCAACAATAGAAAAAGCTCAGAAAAGGCATCAGTTGTAAGTTAAGCGCATTGCTTAAATCTTGGCCTAGTACAGGTGTCACATGACATGCTTTTATATCAACACATATGGTATATGGAAACTAGCTATGGTTTCAACTGTTTCTTTTGAAAATTGTTGTCATGGTAATCACTTTTATTTTTCAAAATCCAACATGTGTACTCATTCTGAGATTTTTGACATAATTACCTTTCCCCCGAAAAGTTCGCCCAAGTCACTGCAAAAGAATCGGGCCAATGAGGTGCAATGTTTTATCATTGGCGAGTTGTTACCAGGAGAGATGAGGCTGGGCTTGGTGCATATCCAGTTTGCCCAAACCCGCTCCAAACTCTGACCGCCACCCCCTCTTCCCGACCCAATCAGTTGTGTGGAGGAGCATTCCTCACCCCGCAACTATAAGTCACAAAGCGGCGGGCAATGCCCCTGCTGCAACTGCTGGCACTGATTGGGTTGAGAGGAAGGGGTAGCGATCAGAGATTTGAGCGGGCTTGAGTAAACTAGGGGAACCAAGTTCACACCAAGCCTGGGCCTCATGGCAACCAACCAGCTTCTCTCTTAAGTTTCTTCAGTTAAGATTTGAAAATGAAAGAGAGAAGCCGATTGGTTACTATAGGCAACTGCTCCAGAATCTGTCTGATCCAGTTTTGATAAATTCCCCCCACTGTGTCCACATGTTATGAATGAACAGGAACACTCAATATAGAAGCTTCCATTTATAACGGGCTGCAGAAAAAGAGATTGGCGACTCTGTGCTCTCAATCCCTTTTCTATTTTAAAAGGGAAATATCCGGGGTCCAGACCACTAATATTTCCCCAGAGCCCCAATTTTACAGTAAAGTAAAAATGTTTTTAAATATTTAATAAAAATTAAATATTTTAAAAAAAGTTAGAAAAAAAAGTTTCAGTTTTGGCCTGACTTTAAAAAAAATACAATTATTCTCAGTTTCATTTTGGTTTTTGACAATTTCATTTCAGTGCACCTCTACAAAAAAATAGCTGTGACCTCATATAACTCATCACTCTCCTTTTTTTTTTTGATCGTGTTCTTTATGTTTCGGATGTCTCCTCCTTACTGAGAGAGATTTGTGTGTATCTTAGTCTTATCTTTATCATGTCTTCAATACAGTTTCTCTGGCTGCGCCCAGCCATGGTGGTGATCTTGCAGCATCTGGTTCCCCCACACGGCAAGAGCTTTGGGGGCTGTACTCGGACCGCACTGTATGGAAGAAGTGGGGCTGGCCTGCAATGTCGCTTTGGGCACTGGATCCTGTGTGGGCGCCCACCTTGGCACATGGAGCAGCCCATTGGGATAGCCGCTGGCTGCTATAAGTCCCCAGGGTAGGGGAGTATTCACACTGGTGTGACCCGTTCCTGAAGACCCCCGCCTAGACGAGGTGGTGCACTCATCTGCAGTGAGCAAAACCAAGATGTGAGTGGGGGTCTGCGCCGGCCCTTTTAACATTTTGGATCAAACTCGGCTCTGACTTTTGCCAAGCCGGGTCAGACAGTGTAAAAAAAGCATTTCAGCATTTGATGCCGCCCTATGCACACCCCAAGTGCAGGTCCGTACGGGTGCGGGTTTCCCAGCCCGGACGCAGACAGGATCCATCCTGTCAGCGTACGAGTACAGACACCCGCATGGACATGCAGGGCAGGTGAGCGTAGGGAGGCGTACGGCCACGTACTCCCATAGGGAAGAACAGGCTGCTGCGTATAATCACACGCAGCACCTGTCCTTCCCGGGACCGGCGCGATACGGCCGTGCACGCAGCACGAAGCTGTATGTGCCGGGCTTTTCTCGTGTGAATGAAGCCTAAGATGTAAAAAAAATGTACACGGGATTGACAGCACTGAAATGTGTAGTTCATAACCGCGCTCTCTGCAGAAGCGTATTCTTTTTATGTGGCTTATTTTGCTGGCGGGTTTTTTGATACCGCTGAGAAAACTTTGGTTACTTTTTTTTAAATTCTTTTATAGAAATGGCACAGATTAATATCATTCCAACTCTGGGATTTTTTTAAAGGGTTGATGAGCTTAGCCGCTGTGTCTAAAATTGCTAGAGAACAAAGTTTTATTGGGTGCCAGTGCATTTTATCTGCCGGCATAGCTTCCTTGCATGTACAAAGTGAAATAGTTGAAAATAAAAACATACATAAAAAGTGTAAAAATATCTTGTTGAATATGTTGAGACGACTCAGAACAGATGTCACATTAATTTGATGTTCAGTACAAAAAAATGATAGCGGCTCCTATTTGCTCATTTTACGACACCTGCTCCGAGCAGACAGTTATTTATTTTTTAGCTGTTAATTTTTGCTCAGCTTGAATTGAAATTTACGTTGTAGTAAGACAGTCTGTACTTTTATGCGCTTTAAGCCCTTCCTGGGTTAAAAAAATGTGTTATCCCTATAGGATTTTACATGGTGGATCAGGCGTTGTGAAAATCAAAAGCAGGGTGAGGGCCCATTCACACATACTGCAATACACTTCTGTTTTATGTAGGGATATATCGATACTAGTATTGGTGACGATGCGAGTATTTGGGCGAGTACCAGTACTCGCCCAAATGCTCCAATGCCTAGCCCGATACTTCCGGCATCAGGAAGCCGGGCAGCACGTCGTTACATGCTGCCCGGTTTCCTGACCACTTGTGACGAGAGAGCATGGAGCCGACTTCCTGGCCAATCAGGAAGCCGGGCAGCATATAATGATGCGCTGACCGGCTTCCTGATTGGTCGGAAGATGGCTTCATGCTCCCTCGTCACCTCATGACGAGGGAGCATGGAGCCGGCTTCGTGGCCAATCAGGAAGCCGGGAGCCGCGTCATTACACAGCGCCCGGCTTCCTGATTGGCCAGAATGCCGGCTCCATGCTTTCTCGTCACCTAGTGACGAGAAGCATGGGGACGGCTTCCCTGCTAATTGGAAAGCCGGATTCGCGAGTCATTACACGCCGCCTGGCTTTTTGAATGGGACTTCCTGTATCAGTATTCGGTATCGGCAGGGACCAAAAAAAATATCGGTATTCGGGACTTAGCCGGGAGCCGCGTCATTACACAGCGCCCGGCTTCCTGATTGGCCAGAATGCCGGCTCCATGCTTTCTCGTCACCTAGTGACGAGAAGCATGGGGACGGCTTCCCTGCTAATTGGAAAGCCGGATTCGCGAGTCATTACACGCCGCCTGGCTTTTTGAATGGGACTTCCTGTATCAGTATTCGGTATCGGCAAGTACCAAAAAATATATCGGTATTCGGTACTCGTACTCGATGCTGAAATACTGGTATCGGTGCATCCCTAGTTTTATGGCAACGCAGATCGCCGCAAGGACACCATTATCGCATTTAAACCACAACTCAGGTGTGATGAGTACTGTGATAAAATACAAACCTATTGCCTTTTATTGCAGCACATTGGATGGAGTGCACACATTGTACAATCCACATAAAGATAATAAAAAATGTAAACAGTGACCACTTTGGTAGTGGGTGGTACAACGCACACTGCCAGAACCGCCACACTGGCCCGTCCGCTGAAACGCAGTGGGAATGGGCCCTAATTTTTTGGGGGGAATTCACCTGGGAATATTTTAACGAAAATATATGCGTTACAAGAGTGACCGTTGCCCTGGTACAGGTGTAGGCAACCTTGACACTCCAGCTGTTGTGGAACTACAAGTGTCTTGAGGCACTGCAAAACTGATAGCCACATAAATGACTCCCAAAAGCATGATGGGATTTGCAGTTTTACCACAGTTGGAGTGCCAGATTACCTTTTAGATGCTGAGGAACAAGCCAGAAGGTCCTGTGAGAAAAAAAACAAAAACTGCCTGATTTTTATAGCCTCTTTGGCTAGAAAACTTGCTGCGACTTGTTTCAGACTCCCACTCCTGGACCGGCACCACTGAGCATTGCGGGAGATGCAACACTCTGGTTTCTTCACAGTTTTCAGGGGAAACGTGCTCTGCAACAGATCAGTTTTCAGCAACACAGGCAGTGGGAAAGGGGAGTTTTTACTTCTTTATAGGTATATGGGACCTGTCTCTGGTGCTCCGCCACTGTCCTGAAATCATTAGTCTGTAAACAAATCCCAGGAGCTCCGTGTGCTCCTTACAAATGACAGCTGCCTCCTCACTTTTGAATTTTTCTCTAGTCTAGTCTTGGAGCTGGAAAAGTATCTGTACATGTACTGGTACCAGGTACGGTACTTGGTATTGGTGCATCCCTAGTTATAACCCCTGTCAGCTTTTTAGCCATCTGTGTCCCATTGGGAAGATTTCCTTTCACTTCCTGTACACTAGCCACAGCAGGATGTGAGAGGAAATCCATGCAAAGTGAGTGAAATCCCAGGTGCACGGCAGGGTCACTAGAACTAGATATTATAAATTCATTTTTTTCACAGATTTAGCTGCACTTGAGAGACTCAATTGAGAGAACTAGATGTTATCCATCATCCAAGACGGTAGTTTTTCCCCAATCAACTGCATAAACAACAACCTAATCTGCTGTAATAACTGGACAAGTATGGGCACATTGAGAGAATACTTCACATAGTTACATAGTATTTGAGATTGAATAAAGACACAGGTCCATCAAGTTCAACCCATTGCGTGTGTGCATGATACTCAGGATGTGTATGCTTGTGTAAT